GGTCAGCCAAGGAAGCCTCTTGGCCCCTTTTCTCCCTTATTGGGATCGTCTCCCTCAGTGCCCGAAGGAGAAAATGCTTCCTTAAGGCACAGCCACCCTTCCTGGACTCCCATCTCGCCAAATCTCTTACTCTGCAGTGTCATTGACTAAACACCTGAGCTCACTGAAGTCAGCCTTCCTAAAGTCTAGCACTTCCACCCTACTAGTTACCTTTCCCACTCTATGCCTTATGGTGAATTCTATTATTTGGTGGTCACTGTCCCTCAGGTGACCACTGATCTGTAGGTCCCCTACCATGTCATCCCTGTTGCCAATACCAGGTCTAGTAAGGCATTCCCCCTAGTGGGACCAGGTACCTCCTGCGTCAGGTGGAGGTCCTGTACACAGGATAGGAACCTGCGTGAACAGTGGGAATTTGCTGTCTGCATCTCCCAGCAGATGTCAGGGTAGTTTAGGTCCCCCATGACTACTGCTTCCCTAGTCTTTATGGTCTCTGAGAGCTGCCTCAAGAGTTCCAAATCTAGTTCTTCCCCATGGTGTGGGGGTCTGTAGCAGACCCCTACCACCAAATCCCTTTCTCCTTGACCCCCATGTATCCTAACCCACAATCCTTCTACTTTCTCCTCCTCCGATTCCATTTTGATAAGGGTCGATGTATAATGCTCCTTGACATAGAGCACAACCCCTCCCCCTCTCCTCCCCACTCTATCCTTTCTGTACAGCTTATAGCCCTCAATGTGTACCACCCAGTCGTGGGTAGAGTCCCACCAGGTTTCTGTTAACCCCACTAAATCGTGAGTGTTTTCTCCAAGCAGGAGTACTAGTTCATCGTGCTTGTTCCCCATGCTCCTAGCATTAGTGTATAAGCACTTGAGCCCTGTGACTGGCGCCTTTGTTGCCCCCCGGCTCTGATCCCCAGTGGGCCCTTTATTTCTTACCTGCTTATTGCTTACCTGTGCTGTAGTGCTGGACGTCCCATGAATTGCAGGTTCCTGATGCTCTCCTTCTTCTGCCTCCCCGTCCCCCATCTGAGCTAGTTGAAAGCCCAGTGTAGGAGATCAACCAACCTGTTGGAAAAAAGACTTTTACCTTTCGTTGAGAGGTGAAGTCTATCGCGCCCCAGGAAGTCCTTGCCAGGAAGTGTGGGTCGTGGTCCAGGAAGCCAAATCCTGCACTACGGCACCAACTCCTGAGCCGCAGGTTGACCTCTCTGATGCAGGCACTGTGATGCCTACTGCGACCTCTGACCGGGAGGATGGATGAGAAGACCCCCTGTGTCCCTGTCTCCCTAAGCCTGGCCCCCAGAGCCCTGTAGTCACCCATGACATGGTCAGGACTACTTCTGGCTGCATCATTGGTTCCCGCATGGATGAGGGCCATGGGATAGTAGTCTGAGGGCTGGATCAGGTCAGGAATCCTTGTTGTGCCATCCTGGATCTTGGCCCCTGGCACGCAACACACTTCACATGCCATGGGATCTGGGCGGCAGATGTTTCCCTCTGCTTCTATCAGTAGGGAGTCGCCCACTACGATGACCCGTCTCCTCTTCCTCCGGTAGCTTGTCTGGCCCTCAGCTTGCTTACTTGGGAAAGGTAGTAAGCCAGCTGGCAGGCATAGGAGCCATAGCAGCAAAAAGAGTTCTATGGATGTTTGGACAGACCAAGTGTTGCTGCTGGCCAGCTGTTAACATTTGTGGTTGGGCTAGATGGTTGGGAAGCATATCTGGAGAGGTGGCAAACAGTGAGGGCAATCTGGATGTGAACATGCGGCCTTTGGGGAAGAGTGAAAGAGGTAGCCACTTTGAAGAGTGACCGCTAAAGGGTTAATGGAAAAAGTGACCTGAACCAAAGGCTCAAATCCAAACCTTCGTAAGTTTGGCTAATGTTTTTTAGCACAATATGTGAAAGCCACTGTACATCCCAGTTCCAACAGGGGAGGAAGCCCCCAAGACAAAGAAGTCATTCTCACTGACTGAAAACCAGCCTTTTGCATGAAGACCTGATCAGAAGTGAGACTTCCAATCTGAATTCCAGACCAAAGAGGTTTGAATGGGATTCAGGTTCTGGGATGTGAATCCCTCCTGAAACCAGAGATTTAACATTTCTCACCTTAAACCACATTGCAACATGAGACTCCCACAGGTGAGAGACTAGAATTGTAACAACTCAGCGTGCCATGTGTTTTCCATTAAACCCCTGCTTAGCAGGCAAAGTAGGCAGTACTGCCTGTTCAGCCCAGGTAAAGGTAGGGAAGACAGCAAAGGAGCAGCTGATCTGAAGCAGTTTAGGCATCCAGAAAGGCTCTTAAGTAGAGTTTCTGTTTCTCAATCAATGCAAACAAAAACAGTTACTGCTGGTGATGTTCACAGCTTTTCAGAGCATGTCTTATGTTGTACTTAATCATGCTCTATTTTGAGGGCTTAGGAACATACACGATGCGTATCGGAGTTGTGTTCATTCTCATCACAGGAGTTAATTGCATCCAAAGTCTGGTTTTTATTTGCTATTGGGTGTTTAGTTCAGAGAAAAAATATATTTAACCTTAAAATGAAATGATTAGACTAACATTGATAGTTAGGGGCACAGAAAAAGTCTCC